ATATTTTAAAAAAATGCCACAAGGATTGTTTCGGGTTTCATAACTAAACAGACCACCAGTGTGGTTGGGGTGGTAGAATGAACAGCCTTGATGCAAAACTGTTTCGCCCTAAAGTCATCACGAAAATCACACAATAGTCAGTGATGCTAATAGTAGTGTTTGCTTCAATTTTAATGTGCGTGAAGGTGAAGCAAGATATCATTCCAGTGAGATCTGCGATTACCAGCGCCACAAGCGCTATGTATGTTATTTCCCATACAAATCAAACCACGTAGCAAATGAAAAGCCAAATTATAGGGATTCATTTCAATTTCTCAGTGTATCTCAACAATTATTTGGGAGTTTCGATCAACCAAATTTGAAATAAAATTGTGCTTATCGGTGGACTCTTAGCGAAAACACACTAGCTTCAAAAGTCAGAGAATACATCGTGGGTTAGTACCAGAATGGAATTGTGGTGTATCCTCATGTTATTCTATAAGTAAATCATTCGTCGCCTAATTACTTAATGTACGACACCCTTTACAAGTAACTTGAATAGCACTCTAATGGTCGGTGAACAGTGGGATGCGGCTGAAAACCCTATCAACTGTTTTCATTCCCTTTAACTTGGTTTCAGCTTGTCGCGATTTCGTGAGTGTTACGTCTAGTGACCCACAAATTTGCGTGATTTCTATCATTTCTGCAGTTTAAGGATTGCAGACTGCATTGAACTGCTTCGCATATACTCCATAGATTCCCCTATATTTTGCGATTGTTCTTGGGGGGATGGTGTGGAGCTTCTTATTTGTTTATGTTTGCATACTCCCTCCTTCAAAGATTCTATGGAGGGTGGAAAACAACACCTACTACAGGAGTCCGTTAAATAGTTGATGAGTCGGCGGGGGAGGATAGGGAAGCACTCCACAGGATGTATGTCCTCCTCAGCCTTTGTCATATCATCTGAGGTGTTCCCACCTAGGAGGTTATCTTCGTGCAGAACCATAGGAGATCAGACGAACCCACCGAGTTCGTCAACACTACATGAGGAGGAGAGAGGCGAGGGCAGCATTATGTGGTACACGAGCACATATTGTTGTTCGAGTTGATCTTGAGACTTTCACTGGTCTACCGAAAAGGAATCCCGCTATCCATATGAGCAGGCAGCACTTCACTCCAAAACGCTCCAGTTCCATTGGCGATCCTGTGAGACGAGCTTTGTCGGTGACCCCGCTGATTCCTAAGGAGACAGAGGCGATGAATCGCTAATTATCCCTAAAACGGGTTCGGATATTCTCCTCTGACCTAAATGGATTCCTGAAAACCACTACATTCCATAACGTGTCGTTGTCTTCAAATGCGACAGACATTCTGTCATTTCCTCCTTCTTTCTTCGGTTGTGACTGTTGCTATTGTGTATTGACTATCGCAAAGTGAATGCCTCGACGAGACGTGACGCTGTGCCCCTTCTACTCATCGATGCAACTCTCGATGCATTTGCTGGCTCTCGATGCTTCTCTACTTTAGATCTAGCATTCGGGTACTGGTGAGTAGAAGTGCACCCGAACGATTGTCCTAAGACTGCATTTATACTCCCGACTGGTCTCTACGAATTCTCTTTATGAATTCCTTTCTGACTATGTAATCCTCCCACCACATTTCAAAGCTTGATGCAGGTAGTCCTTGACAGGTTGGTTCCAAATGAGGGTCTTGTCTATGAATAATAATATACGTTTATTGCCGTTTACGCAGGAACATACCAATTGTACAGACATGGATAAGTTATTATATAAATTACACATATTTCGATGTCTGCCGAATTAACAGTTTGTTTACTAGCACGCGGCACTTGTGTGATCACCCTGCTAACGTGCGCTTTGCTCTCTGTTTCAGATCATTGCTTGACGATTGGCCCTACAGACAGACTGTACACGTAAGTTGTGTATGACATTGAAAACCGCCTGAAAATCAGTTGCTTCTTTATTTCAGATCATGAATACTTCTCGTACAGAATGCTGGTCAGCGTCTTCAAATGGTAGCATCAGATCGTTCATGGAATTTGGGTGGTTATGAGCCAGTAGCTTGAGTGGAGACGTGTGAATTCACTTAAATTGTCTGAAGTCCAACTTAACTTCACTTTAAATGTAGAGTTGTTCGTCCACGACCAGGAGGTAAATAGAAGAGTAGGCGCAGCAGCAGAATACCAGAAAGAGAAAGTATGTGAACATGAAAATACGGGCCTATAGCTGATATCAACAACTGCCGCCCCAACAACATCACGTCTGCAGTTTCACGTGTAATGGAAAAGATAGTGAAGACTCAAATTATTCAGTACTTGCTCTCAAATTAACTACTATCCTCATCCCAATACTGTTGCTTAAGCAGAAGGTTGTGCATTACTGGCCACTTAGACTATTTTGACTACATTACACAACGCATAGATAGTGGGCATTCAGTAACAATATTCTTTCTCGACGTTAGCAAACCCTTCGATAAAGTCCCGCATATCAGACTCTTAACAAAAGCTTGATGCAGGTAGTCCTTGACAGGTTGGTTCCCAATGAGGGTCTTGTCTATCTTGACGATATTATCGCAAATGAGAGGTCCTCAGAGGATAATATTGATATCCTACGGACTGTTCTCACGAGGTTAAGAACAAATAGTTTAAGGTTGAAGCCTTCTAAATGCTCCTTTCTCCAGAGAGAAGTCACATTTGTGCGTTGCCGTATCTCACCAAATGGCACTCAAACGGATCCGGAGAAAAACCGTCTTATCGCAGAATGGCCTACACTCCAGTCTTGTCTTGTAAAGAAGTTCTTTGCTTCCTAGGGTTGGCGTCACACTATCAACGTTTCGTCCCTGGGTTCAGCACCCTTGCCTCGCCTCGGAATCGACTGACAGAAGAAGGCTGTAGATTCTCATGGACTGATGAGGGCAAACATGCGTTCGATTAGTTCAAGAAAAACTTGACGCCGACGCCTCTCTCGATTGTCGGATTGTGTTTCAACAGTAAATGCTACACTCACTACTGGCACAGATGTTGACTGGACAGCACTGCAGGCGGCTGATGCAGATATCAAACCTGTCTACTCGTGACAGATTTACGCGAACGATAAACCGTCAAACAAGGAACTGCAGTGTTTGTCCGATATAACGCGATGCATCTGTGGTAAGTGTCATGTGTCGCGACTGATTGATGATGTCTTGTAAATAGGGGAACCATCTTCGTCGCCTCGCCTTCTCGTCACACGTTTGAAAGTTCCGGAGGTGATTCAACTCGTGCACCACCAACTTGGTCCTGCTGGTCAACAAACAATCAAACACACTGTCTGTCAACGCTTTCGCTGGCCGCTTCTTCATCACGACGTGACTAAATTCTTCCGCAACTGTGCCACATGTGCACAAAAGAGCAGCACGAACAGGCCTCCCGAGCACAATTAGTATCAATGCTAATCGAAGTCCCTAATCATCGAGTCGGGATAGATGTTATGGGGCTAGTCCCAGCGGTGGGATGCGGTAATCGCCACAAACTAGTCATGGTTGAGTGCTTCACAAAGTGGTGTGAAGCTGTCCTCTTGCGACAACATGACGCCCTGACGATCGGTCGCGCTTCCATCGATACTTGGGTGCCTCGCTCTGTGCCCCCTTTATCTACACTCCGGTCAGTGCGCAACTTTTGAGTCATCTTATCGCGCACGTCTTCAATACTTTTGGCATTCGGAAGATTCATACTGCGTCATAGCATTCACAAGCTGATGGATTGGTGGAACGCTCTTTTGCGTGTTGCCTTGGAGATCACCTGGGACGACGCTCTGCCTCAGTGTTTGCTGGTATATCACTTCTCAGAGCACTCGTCGATGGGATTTTCTTCGGCTCTGCTCTTGTTTGGGTGTGAACTCCGACATGCAGACATAAGATACGAAAAATTTGACTGTATTCTTCACATCCGACATCCTCGCCACCACTTGGAGATGGCCTACAACCTGATGCGTCATCATCTACAGCCTTCGTCAGAGCACAAGAAAAGCATTTCCGACCGGTACGCCCGCGGATCCACTTATTCATTTGGTGACTACGTCTAGCTTCATCGACCATCAAACCTTGCCGGTTCGTGCCCTAAATTATACGCTCCATGTCTAGGACCATATCAGATCGTACAACACCGACCTCCTGCCACTTATGTCTTGCGGAACCTGCGACGACCATCTCAAGACAACCTCATCTCCGCCCATTATGATCAGCTGAAACCTCATTATCCAGCAGCTGTCGAGGAACCACCGAACCCCCATCCACAACCACCGCCTGCTACTAGCTACGTCGAGGTGTCGACTGATGGAGGCAATGCATACCCCATACCACCGCCAGACACTGAGGACAGTGCCTACAGAAGGGAGTAGGTGATGTAGTGAGATAAAAACCAGCATAATATCACTAAATAAGGGAAGAGTGAAGATTGGACACCATTAGGTTCTACGTGAAAGTTGGTATTCAATCTACGAAAAATGCATTCATAATATACACGTTACAAAATGACTTTTACAGGGTATATATACCTAACATGCTGTAAAAGTCGGTCCCAGTAACTCAGTGGAGTTTCTGCAGGCATATGACAGCAGTGTCGATGCAAAACTTCGACTGAGTGGCTGTTTATCATAATTTACTGAGGGAGAGTTTTGATTTCGAGAGGAAGGTACCTGAAAAGTCACCATAATTTAGGACTAATCAGCCCTCACAGAATTACTTACTTAACAGTGGTTGTACCTAAATGCTTGACCACCGAAAGCCCGGCACTACTTTTGCAAAGTCGTTGCCCTCCCACATATCAATTTTTTAGTCCTCCCTATTAACCTGTTTTCCACACGGAAGTTGAAAACTAAATCTAGGTGAAACTTGCGTAGACTATCATGAACAGCGTTCATTTGTAATGCTGAGCGATCTGACTGTAGGTCATTCGACTTTGGTGTCTATTGCTTACTCTTGCCCAAATAAGTTTTTCCCCCTTCTCTTTCAGAAAGAAACACTACCGTTAACTTACTGGAACAAGAAGAGAACCGTCTAGCTGGACTTGTTATAAACGATGACAAATAGCTTTGTGCCCGCTCACTTTGCTTATTCAAATACATAAACCTCTCATGTCCTCTTCGCCTTCTTCTTTCTTCGTTTGTGACTGTTATTATTGCGTAATACACTTGAAGTTTGGTGTTACAAATGTCTAGAGGTGAGTTATCCGGATTTTAACTGCGTCTTTTCCTATAATTTCCACCTCAAACAACAACTGGACTTATATCTGGGCAGTCACTCAAGTTTATAGTATGTCTCCTGATTTTATTGATGTTTTTATTTTAATGTCGTCAGTTCAAAGTACAATGCTTCAATGCATAAAACTCCAGCGACAAAATTCGACCTGGCAGTAGCTCGACATAGCATTCTAAGCGGCAATTCAGTGTCCGGACTAAAGCCTAGTATATTTGCTTAGTATCTTTAGGGATTCATACATTGTACTTATCTGAATTTTGTCAAAATCTTCTCACTTTCACAAACGTTTTATAAGAGAACCGGTACCACTAGTTCTAGTATTACTTGCTGTCCATTGCATGAGTCTGATTTGTGTAGTTTATTCACCAGTGGCTTCTGAATTGTAGTGTGAACTAAAGATACTTAATTGAGGGTCAGGATAAGAAGTAAGCTCCTCTTTCTTTGCGACACAATGATTAGGTATGAAGTTTCCATTTTTCAGCTATTGGAATGTAGAGAGTTGTTCTGCGTACCAAGTCACTTCTCTATTCCCTCATCTTTGCATATACATTCTAACGTACACCGGTTGTGCCATCTAAGAAGTAGTATCTAAAGCACACAGTCGACTACAGAATTCCATATGATTGTTTAAAAGGCAGTGCAGTGTGCTGCAACTGTCGAGTTGTGACTGGTATGAACCAGCCCTATTTGCTACCTGATCCATTGTCTAAATAAGAATAATACTAGATAAATTTGTATCGCCGTGTTTTGTTGTAAGGGATTCCTAAATTTAACTACCTAAACACTCATTTCCTCGGAATTGACCTGAAGCGCTCACCTAAATTTGCTGTCGTAGGTGGTCCTCCATTGTGTATTGTCGTTAGATAATGGCGAAATGATAGTTCTTTACCATGTGGAGAAAATGAGGTCATCACAAAGTCCCGAGAGGGCTTCTACTGACCAGTGGTTCTTGCTCAGATAATGTCTCGTCAGCTTTAAGAGTGTGTGGGCTTTCCTGATAAACTTATGCAGGACAGTTTGTTAAATTACTCACTGAAAGTAGATGATTGTCCATAGCCTTCACCGGTTGCTTAAGGAATCGATTTTCGTCACGTCTATCCGATTTGCTTTGTGTCCAAATCGGTTTGCTGCAAGCCTTCAACACGAGTTCCGTATAGCTTAACTCTTAGCATAAATTATATCCATAAAGAGCAAACACTTTTGATCATTTATTCACATCTATTGGTGATTTGGGATAGTTAATAATTGGTGTAGTGAGTGAGGTTCTAAAGTTGTTTACGTATGAGAAAACTAAGCAACTAAAACAATGGGAAGTAATGTATCTGACTTCCGGTATACCTCAACGAAATGTTTGTGTGAATGAGATACTAGTGGGAAGATTTTAACTTGACAAAATGAAATGTATAAAACACTGAAGGAAGGGAATTCGGTTCCTTGACAAGTTCCGACCAGGACTATTTAGACTCGTTACTAATTTGGATGTACTCCCTGTTTTCTTTTCGCCGTTCACGCTGGTGATAGTGGGGATCTGATGTCTAGTATCGTCTCGAGGATCTCAGACAAATACTCAACACCTCCGTACCTATTTCAAACTAAGAGTAAGAAGTTGCATCAGTTGATGCCAGGTTTTGGTCTTACCACCCGTACCTGTCTCACAAGTTAATTCTCTGTCGGCTTATATTACTTTACGGAAGAGGTGATGGCTCACAATGCGTAACACGCGCTCTAATCATCTCGGTCTACGCAACTTCACAAGCTCATTGATAGACTTGTTCTCTTTACGTGACAACATGTTTAACTCCAACATTATTTACTATACTATGCCACTTAACACAGAATATAGGACGCCAAAGCCTGTGACTAGAGACAGCTGACGTCTTCAAGTCCCCTGCTTTAAACGGTTGCATCTCATTCATAAGAAAGGACAACGAATTGCTGCACAGTGCACATGTCCTTCCATTGATAGCTGGACATCTCATTGTTTGATACAAACATGCAGACTTTATGGTGACTGTGAGAATGCCACAAGTTGACGTATTGGGCGTCAATGGTGTAAATTGTGTACTGTACCAGTACACACTGGCGACATTACTTGAGATGTAGTTCGAAGTTATCTAAGTAAAAGTTAAATTTGTTCTTCTATTGTGATTATTACCTTTCTCACTTAGATTTTGAAGCCTTTTCTAACCTGATTTGTTGACCTTATGTAGATTATGTTATGATTCGAACTTACTCATTTTGTGCGGATTTTTAAATCAACACTATTCTCTCTCTCTCTCTCTAATAACTCAGCATATTCGCTAACATCAAACATCTTATGTATTGAATAATTTCAGAACGATTGCACTATTAACAGTTGAAACATCGCTGTCGAGTCAACCTTTGACACATCTAGGTTACTTAGCATCACTTCTGAGAGGTTTTCAATCGAGAGAAAACTAACTTCCTCTTTCATTAGTTACACAGAAATTTATCACACCTAAATCTCGTCTGGTAATTTAAAGGTGAGTGTAGGCCAGGTAGGTCATATCTTCATCCTTCGATGGATCCTAGAACACACCCATACTTACCAACACCCAACATTTGCCATATTTCTTGACCTGCAAACGGCATTCGACACCGTCGCACAAGAGGTGCCATCGCAATGTTTGGTCGTGGACGTATATCGTACTGATGAGGGCACTACTAGAGGTCACGCAGCCATGTAGGAGCTTATGGGAATTTTCCATTTGATGAAGTGATAACTACTAGTGGTATCCCGAATGAATGTACCCACTGTTTGTTTAATTACATTACAGGAGTACAACGGAAGGTGACGCTTGGCGAATTCTACGTCACAGGGATATGTTAAATTACCAGAAAGAAGTGTCTGATGTACGACATGCAGATAATACAGTGCTTCTAGGTGGAGGGAGATGTGGACAAAATGCGAGCTTCTCTAAATATCTTCAGCAGAAATCTTAGTATGTTTGCCATGTGGTTAACTTCTATCAAATCTAAGATGATGCTGTAAGACTTAGCTGCATCTACTTCCAGCTTGAAGAAAAGTAGTTGCACCAGCCGAGACATAAGAGGTTAATGTGGCATAAGAATAAAACCTGTGCACTATGGCAGAGTATAACTCCATTATGGATAATATATGACTATGAGCAATAGTTTTGTGCTCGAAACGTCATCAGGTAATGTTACTGTATAACAGCTATCTGTAATCTAAAACGAGGCAAAGCGGCAGGACCCGACGGAATTATTCCGGAGGTGTTTAAATATCGGGGTGACACACTAATATATAGTTTAACTAAGGTACTAGGTAACGTCTGGGAATCAGAGACGGTTCCATCAGATTGGGGTAAGTCACTTATTATACCGATTTTCAAGGAGGGAGACAAGTCCTCATGTGATAATCACAGAGAAATCAGCCTGACGAACAGTCTCTAAAATCCTAGACTCAGTAATCATGCACAGACTAAGCTGAACTCAGGAGGAACAAACGAGGGAAAATCAAGCGGGATTTAGGCCACGTAGAGGGTGCATGGATCATATCTTTACTCTCCGACAGATCCTAGAACATAGACACACTTTTAGGCGTCCAACAATTGCCATATTTCTTGACTTGAAGGCGGCCTTCGACTCCGTGGACCGAGAGGTTCTATGGCAATGTTTGACTGTAAAAGGAGTGCCAAGAAAGTACATTACACTAAACAAGGCACTCTACTCAAACTCACGTAGCCGTGTAAGGGCTTATGGGGAATTGTCATCTGAATTGATAACAACCAGTGGTGTCCGTCAAGGATGTCCACTTTCCCCTTTTCTGTTTAACTTCATCATAGATATGCTAATGGAAGTATCCTTAACTGAACTTAACGACTTAGGAATCGACTTGTTACCAGGGAGTAGTCTTATGGACTTAGAATATGCAGATGACATTGTCCTGTTAGGGGAGGATGCTCACAAAATACGGAGTCTTCTGAACACTTTGAGCAGCAATCTTCGTATGTTTGGCATGCGATTCGCCTCTGTAAAATGTAAGATGCTGCTACAGGACTGGACTACGTCTACCCCTAGCTTAGTGATAGGGAGTGAAGTGATAGAACATGTTGACCACTTCACCTATTTGGGAAGTTGTATCAGCACCAACGGATTGATTGGTGACGAAATCACAGCACGGATCCAGAAAGCTCGGGCTGCTTTCGCTAACTTACACCATCTCTGGCGTAGGCGTGACATCCAGCTATCAACCAAGGGACGTGTGTACTGCTCAGCAGTTCGCTCCGTCCTTATCTACGGCTCTGGAACATGGCCAATACGAGTTGAAGACATGAGAAGGTTGACTGTTTTTGATCAAAGATGTCTACGATCTCTTTCTCACGTTAGGTGGTGGTATAATAAGGTAAGTAATGTTGACGTCAGGCGTAGTGTTGGCCAAAAAGGAAAAATCAATCGACGAGGCTATAAAGTTACATAGATTGAGATGGCTAGGTCACGTGCTGCGCATGCCCAACCATCGCCTCCCCCGACGGACGGGCATTACTAGCTGATATAGGGGCAGGTTGGAGAAGAGTAAGTGGTGGCCAAACAAAAACATGGCCTCATCAATCCACGAAATCCCTGACAGTTAAACTGAGTCAGGTAGGGAGGGAGATGCAGATTTCCGGGTTGGGGCCCGGCCCGCCCTCGGGACTCTAAGAATCAATGAAAGCTGGAGACAATAGGTGACATGGCTCAAACTCATCGTTGTCAATGGCTTACGCAGATGTATTCAGTCTCTGTAATTTTTTATATTCCTTTCTACCATTACTCATTCTGTTTCACTCTTATACTTGTCAAAACTCTTTGGATTCTCTCCAGTCATTTTCTTGTCTACCTTTGTGTGTTCTTTGGAACGTGGCAACTCGAACTGGTGCACTTCGGTGGCAAGCACTATGTTGAATCCAGCCAGCCACTCTATGACACTGTGTGATTTGTCTAAATAAAATCTTATCCATAATGGAGGTTGCTATGGCGTTTGCCACCTTGTACCATCTCTAGCGAAGACGTCATACCTAGCAATCGATCGCCTTGTTAGACGAGCGACGTTAACGAGCATAGGATTGGGATGGAAAGAAGTTAGGAGCAGTTCATGAAGCCGTTGGCAGTTGGTTTGAGCTAGCCACGTAGGAGAGGAAATACAAGCTACCTGGTTGAGATTGTTGAGATACTGAGAAAGCATGTCTGGAGACTATTTGTGGTATGGCTCATGGTCGTTCTGAGAAACAGATGCACTCGCTCTTTCGGATTTTCTATATCCACTAAGCCATGCTACTATTCTTGTTTTTGCTCACTTCCTCTCTTTCGCCTGACTTTGTGTGCTACATGGAGTGTTGCAAGTTGAACCGCTGTGCTCAGTCACATGTGAGAACTCAGTTTTTTAATTAGCAACTGTACTTCTAGTAAATGTACACCACCGACTCTGCAAGCAGCGCTGGCGATATGAGTTCGCGAGATGGAATATCTGGTTCTATAAAGCGTCATTCACTATATTTTACAACTTACATTGTCTGCACCTTTTGTTGTGGGAGTTATAAAAGCCTCCTTCACCGAAAGGTTTGCTACATCTAAAACACACACAGGATTCAATTGCCTTTTAGATTTTTATGGCTTTTAAGTAAGATTTCTCGTTAACTTATCGTTAGTGAAGATTGTCGAATAACTTCTGTTTGTAGTGTGATTTCGCACTTGAAGTTATATCAGTTTTAGTTTGTAAAGTAGAGTAGGATGACTTGCATCTCCAGTCTGTTGAGTTGATTTCAACTGTTGAAAATGTCAAATAGATAATGACCCAGAACTACCATGTTGCCAACGCCAAACTTATTCCTAAACAACGGTAGTCATAAGCCTTCCATTGTCTGATGTAATTGGAGGATGTGTTACAACACGTAGGTACTGAACTTGGTTTGTTCGAGGAGTGTGAAATATAAAATGAATGAGAGAAATTTGGCGAACCGAAGACAATACATCAGGCAGCTAGTTCGAGCCGTGTACTCTGCTGGACTGGGCCATACTTCACCACAAGCTTACGTGATCTAACGGGCTTACTAATTATCTCCATCTTAATTAATTATTTCAATTTACCGCTAAGAGATTGTATCCTGAAACACCTTATTACTTTCAACCTGGTATGCGAATGCACTACCGCAACATTCTGTTGATAATATGCCACATTTCCTAATTTCCCTTACTTTTGCAGACTACGAGAAACGCACCCGCTCAAGGTCACGTGACCGACACAGAGATCGTGGTGACATATATACGCGTTCACGGAGATATGAAGATCGCAGAGATCGTGACTACGGTCATGATTACAACGAAAGAGACGTGGACAGAGACAGGCATCGATATGATAGAGAGAATAGAGATCGCGATGTCCGAAGGAGACGTGAACGCAGCTATAGCGCGGAAAGACGGAGACATTCACGTTATCGTAGTCCTGAAACTGAGGAAGAGGTCATAGAGTATGTGGAAGGTAATCAATTTTCGTTATATGACCACTTTATTTTTCAGAAACACCAGCTGAACCTGAAACAGAGGAGGAAGCTGAGATGATGCGGACGATGGGGTTCTGCACTTTCAACACGACAAAAGGGAAGCGTGTGGTGGGGAACACTGTTTACATAGCCAATATAACAAAACAGCGGAAGCACCGTTAATATATACTAACAGCGAGGAGGTTTTAATCGACCTCATGACCCTTTTGCTTACATACTGTGATAATGGTTGTGTTGTGTGTATTACTGTTTGCGTCTCAAGACGCTACTCAAAACGAAAGGTTGTCAACAAAAGATTTGTATATAATAAAATTCTAACATATTTTGTAAGTATTGAACTTTATAGATGTAATAAGCATGCACTATGTGGCGCTTGGTCACTGTAGAGATCAATGCCGGAAACGATAAAAGCATTGAGGAGTTCGCCGTTCGCTGTTCGATACACTTTGTGTTTAGAATGAAATAACTTTCAATCTGTCATTACTTTCGCCAGACTGACTTTATTGCAACTAACTGGTTGTGGTCGAGGTCACCGTGTAGATGTTCATCATAATTCTGTCAACTTCCATTCTATCTAGTCAGAGCCGTGTTTTATTTTGCGTCATGTGCGGGGATCGCGAATAGGGAAGAGTCGAGAAGGCTTCAATTGTCAGATAGATAGAATGTTAAGCCAAAACACCACTTTTATGACCATAAATACAAATTTTTGTCTCGTTTCCTCTGATATTGTTTACAGACTGAACTGTATACATTTGAGAAGTCAAATCATAAGCCGATTTCTACTATAAGTTATCTTTTTACACTTTATGTACAGAATCTACACGAAGGTTTCACTGTCTGGAAAGTTTCGGCGTGAGGCCAGCAACTCAACCCAGTGAGTTTAGGAGAGAGAAATAACTGATAGCAGTGGTTTAGTTGTAAAGGTTTCATTGTCTTTCTAAACAACCTCTTCAGCGCATACTTCTTCAGTTTAAAGTGGGCTTTTAGCATTCTGCTCGAGTCTATCAGCCATCTCTCCTTGTCACCTTGAATGTGATTCCTTGTTTCTTGAAAAATTTTCTCATCATTTGGTCCATTTCTAATCGTGTGACTTGCATTTTATTGATTTTCAAATGTCATCTGTTTCAGTGTGTGTCTGTTGATTGCAGATCAGTCCAGTAATTCATTGAAATTTTTAGTGTTTTCTTTGTGTAGGATTTCTTCATTTTCCCAATTGAACTGGTGTCGTTGGTTGTCTGCATAAATTGATAAAAGCGGATGTATATATCATGTCTTGTGACAGCCAGTTTATGTTCTTTAATGCGTCGGTGGCACAGCGGTTAGGACTCTCGCCGACCATGCATATGGTCCGGGGTTCTATCCCCTGCCGACGCAAACCCGATATCTATGGTCGGCCTGTAAAATTTGGGCTACCGATATCCATGCTGAAAATTCCATACTTGTACTGAAAATACGGTGTGGCATCAAGCTGTAATCAAAAAAATAAATAAATAAAAGACAAAGCGGTTGTCGACTTCGACCAATATAAGGTTTTTCGCAGCTGCTGCAGTTTATCTTGTAGAACACAGTCGCACCAATATCACCCACCTGAGTTGTGAATGAACTCCAGAACTATATCCAGACGTTTACGTATCATTGATGCGCAAGACAGCTAAGCATTACCTGTGATAGCCTCAGTGAAAGAGTGAGCAGGTTAGAGTATTGGTCGTGTGTAGCTCAGGTGCCACAAGTAGTAGTTTGGAAGCTCAAATAAGGCACGAACAATAAATGTACTAAAATAATACCAGATTATCTTCATTATTTCTCCAATTTGTTTCAGCTGCTTAAAACACAAGCAATGCGAAAAATATGTGAATTACTTAGAGGTTTCGACATACTTTCAACATGTTCACAATCAGTTATTGAAAGGAACTAAGAGTAACATAACCTGGGAATAGTGTAAAAGCTACAGGGAGTGCTGTTGGTAAGCTACGCTGTGCATACCCAGCACAGTCCGCCTTTCATTTGAGGACACAAAGCATTAGCACTGTGAGCACTGCATGTAGCATTATGGTGAAGTTGTGTTTCAAACGGCGTTTATTTCTGCGGAAGATTTGACTGCTATGAGATTCCTATTTCACAAACATAAAATAGACTCAGAGATGACAGGAGGTTATTTCCGTAATCGGGATAAGGATGAGTTGTTTAGGAGGAATGGAAGACTTTATTTAGCTTTTTGTTCGCACAAACACTATCGTGCAAGAAGTTGCAGCGCAACTTCATGTAAATTAAAAGACTATGAATGCCCTGCTCCCGTCTTCAGTATGAGAAGGTTAACAGCGCATAGGAGTCACTTCACAAGATTCTCTAAATTGAGTACTGTGGGGATGAGCAGATGTTCTTGCAGTTCAGTTCACTGGAATATGTGAGTGAGCTTGTGAAGAAACTATGTAGACGCTTCTAGTAATAGATTTGCCATGGAGACTTCATAGTGAAATGAAAAGTGTATGTGTTTCACTGAGTCGTATTCACTCCCTGTATATATGTGATGTTCGGCAAGTGTTGATTTAAGAATTACTGAAGGTTTTAAATCAAGGTATAAGTAAAATGCATATGTTACTGGTAGGGCTATTGATCACAGTTATACTGTACCAGTCCTTAATAGACGTGATTTGTCTGGTTACCCAGTAGATCAGTAATCTACTTAACTTGTAGATACTGCTGATAAAACGCAAATTGAAAGGATCCAGTTGATTGGAAATGTGCTCTAATCAGGAGTATATTCGAGTAGAATAAAAGTCAAGATTACTCAGGGTTAAGAGACTTAGGACTTATCTAACTAGTACAACTGAAATGCAAACTAGGAGAATGTGTGTATTCACTGAAGAAGGAAGGAACGCGTTCCAGCCTGTTCGTATGTGTATACGTTACAATAAAACACCTAAAACATTGGAAGGTGTAATACAAATGCAACCAGTTAAACTACTATTCTGAACTGTTTATAGAACAAAAATAGACAAATATTCTTGTCACAAACAGGAACCCACTTCATTTTTTGATAGCTCATAGCCCATATTATCTGGTTACATGTTGTGGATGCCAAGCCAGAGTTTTCCGTAAAATGCAGTGTAAACCGCTTGGTTGGGGTCGTCAAGACTATGGGTGATATGGCTGAAAATCGCTCTCAATGGTACAGATGCAGTCACATTTTGTGGTCTCCCACATCCACTACACCCTCATGCATTTCAGTGACACTATTCTTCCTCTCGAACCTTAGTGGGAAAACTTTTATGAAGTCCGTCACGATTCATACATTCATCGTAAGTTACGCGTGCAAACCAGAAGACAAGATTTATTCGAGCATGCTGTCGTGTTATGACGCATAAATGTAATGAATAGGATACAAAAACCTGAGATTGTAAGGTGTCTAAGCTGTATGCCGTCAAATGCGCCATCACTGTACGCAAAGAAGGCGAATTAGCAAAGCTGTGTTAAACATGATCCCAGTTAGAAACAAACAATGCCCTAGTTACCAGATAAAGAATAAACAGATTCTAACAAAGAATGTTCAGCAAACAGTGAAACATGAAGAAGGTTGTACGACATGTATCGCTTAACCATAAGGAAATAATTACTCCAGATTAAGTGAAATGTTAATACGCCAAATGAGGTAAATTTCAGAGAAATGACGACGCGGTGAAACAGAATATAAGCTCATAGTACCTGCTGAAAACTAGCAGTTTAAACTAAACGAGTAAAACAGTAATAAGGAAAGGAGATAATTTGGACTCCATCTATGGGATTATACTGTACAACCAGGAGCCTAGCTTTAACACCCCACCCTAGGATCAAGCCTAGTACCTTTACACTACGAAAGCCAAACAGATGAACGAGCAAACAAATGGGTATGTGAATTACAGTAGACAATGACGAGTAGTTTTATCGTGTGAGTCAAAATTTGACAGTGAGCAGAAATACTACAGCACCGCAATGTTGCTTTAGATGATTATGAATCGCGAATTGATTAGAACTACGAGTAAATAAAGAAAGGTGAAAATAAAGCTGAACAGAGATGCGTTAAATAAATAAGACAGGAAGATGAAGTACTTCTGGCGATGTGTGAATCTGTGCCCTTGTCATATTCAAATCCAATAAAAGATGAATGAAGTGGTATTAGAATGCCATAACGTAAAGTTGGTGCGTCGGTGGCATAGCGGTTAGGACGCTCGCCGACCATGCACATAGTCCGGGGTTCGATCCCCGGCCGATGCACTCCTTTACCTCTCTAAACCAGAAATAAAAGCTGGTAAAGAGAAAAGGTTGGGCATGAGGCTAGCAACCACATCCTGTAAAATAAAAAACACTGCTACAGAAACTTCAAGCCTCTAGCTTGGAGATCTATGTTCCACTGGGAACGTGAAGGAATAAAAAAAACGAAAAGAAGTTTGTTGTGTACTGTCAAAGCTTACGAAATACGAAACAAATGCATTCACATCCCCTTAGAAAGACTCTGTCGGAATTTTCTTCGTTGAAATCATTGTTAAATATATCAGTTAGAATTATTAATTTGAACAGAAATGTGATGAGGAAATTTCATTAAAATCCAGTCCGTGAGTGAGTGATTCCCCCCCCCCCCACCGCCCCCACTAGATTGAATGTAGTTTTGGGTATTCAGTAAATTTGACGTTTTCTCCCCATTAAAAAAGTCGTTACTTGGTAGCAGAATTATCAGTTTGAGTTACTTTTTCTGGATCCGTGTCTGAGTGGATAGATATACACTCAGTCTGAATATCCATCAGACAAGTCCAAAATATGAGGAATCTAGCATTTTGGATTGTTCTTACTGAAATGGCTGATTATTATTATTATTGTATCCTTTAATTCCTACAGGAGCATAGGGCTTCAGCCGTGCGTCTCCATTGCGTTCTGTTCTCTGCTAGTCTTCACCTGGCTCCATGTATGCCCACACGTTTTCATCTCCTCTTCACATGTCCTCCTCCAAGTCACCCTTGGACAACCAACTCGCCGCTTCCCTTTCGGGTTCCACTCAAGGGCTTGTCTAGTGATGTCACTTGATGGTTTCCTGAGAGTATGGCCAATCCATCTCCATTTCTTCCTGCCTATTTGTTTGACAATCGGTTCCTGGTTGGTTCGCTCCCAAAGATCTCTGTTGCTGATCTTTTCTGGCCATCTGGTCTTGAGTATTGAGCGAAGACAACTGTTAATGAAGGTTTGTAGTTTGTTTGAGATGTTCTTTATGACGCGCCAAGTCTCTGATCAAATGGCTGATTACAATCTGTAAAATCATGGAAAGATTTCAATGTATACACTAATCATCCTAAAGCATAAATAGTTAATTGTTATTTAACTCACAGTAAGGTCACATGATCTTATCGATTTCTTCCCAAGGCTATGTATAGTTGTTTAAACTCATCCACCTAAACTGTTGACATCTACTGGCCTACTGATATTATTCCCCTGTAAGAAAACGGAAAAAATATTTTTAAAGAAATAACTAGCTAGTGATAAAATATTGTTTATTTTCAGTTAATTTGAGTGATGCGACGTCCAGCAAGTGATGTTAGACAACGTGAAAGTGGTAGACGTTCATCACTTGAAAATAATGGTTCAAGACGACGTAATTCTAGTGTCCCATTTCATAATGGACGTATACATGGGATGAATCCAAATTCTATGGATAGTGATACTGACTTTTTGTGTGATCGTGCTGTCGAATTTATGGAATCTGGTGATATACACAGTATAGTTGCAGTGGAATTAGCTGAGCAAAGTATGTATTTTGAAAGATTATTAAGATATCATCATGGCCGAGGAAATATACGCTTACCAGAATTTCTAAATCCTGGCTTCCCATCAGTATTAGAGTATATACGTAAGGGGACAACAGAGATAAATCGTGAGAATGTTTACCACATATTTATTGCAGCTGATTTTCTATTAGTCCCGAAATTGAAACAAGAATGTGCCAATCTCCTGAAAGAGATAGCCTCAGATTCATCGACTGCCATCTCCTTATGGTTGACATGTAGATCGCTTTACTGGCCTGAAGTGGGTATGATGGCATTTCAAAAGATACTGGAGAATTTCGAAAGTGTATGGCAATCAACAGATTTTCAGAATTTAGACGCTGTCGATGTTCGTGAAATTCTGCATGAAGATGGATTGAATTGTAAACGTGAGAAGAATGTATTCGATGCTATCGTGAGATGGGTTAGTGAGAATTTCAAAACACGTATACACTATACACTGGAATTGTTATTATGCATACGGATTGGAATGTTGTCGGCAGCAGAGTTGGATTATATCAAGAATCATGATTTAGTTCGTGTGATACCAGAATACTTTGATATACTGAACCAATGGCCTAACTGTTTAACTCTAACTGGTAATCCGATTATTTCGGCTTATGGACAACGATTTATTACGCCAAGATTACCTCATGAAGTAAGTTATCCAGTGTGTGTGTGTGACTCAGAAAGTGCTGTATACTCTCATCCTTTAACTAGACTGTAATCTAACTATCCCAAGTATCTCACTAGGTGAATAGGCTAATTTATTTATCAAGGTATGAGTGATGCTACGCACTACTGACTGATTGAGATAAGTAGTAGTAATTCCACAGCAACCAGTATTAATTGCTAATTAGCCAGACTGAATTCATCTAAACACTACCAGACAGGCGTTTCACTCGTTTAGGGGCCGAGTTCACCGGGGGTGTGCCGGGTTTGTCTCAGCTCAAACAGATGAATCAGTTGAAACCGCCCTCTTTCTGGATAGCTAATTGAATGATCAATTATACTATTACACTACTTTCTTGATTACGTTTTGTCAGACAGATCATATGCATTTTGGCTATCTGAGTTCACAGTAATCCATCCCAGCGAACCAACAGCTATCATGCCTTTTCTGTAACCAATAGAAGTGGAATTGGTTACAGGATTTAATCATGAGCTGACATTAGTTAGAGAACCATTGGAAAACCTGGGAGTACTGGACAGCTGTTTCGTCCCAGTTCGGGACTCTTCGGCAGTACGCACCCACCGGGGTTCGAACCAAGGACCTTCTGGTTACAAGGTGAGCTCGTATACCATTAAGCCACTGGGACCCTATCCAACGGCCCATGAATTCTAACTTCGACCAATTAGTTAGAACACCCCAGTTTCTGTAGTCTGTGGTGGAGTTTATTTAAACAACCTTTAGTTTCACATTGAAAACAGTATTCGAAAATTTAAAAAATTAGTATCACTTGTGGAAAAACCCAGTCAGGCGAATTTTTTTCGAAAACGTGGGTAAGGCGCATGAAAAGGTGAGTGGCTTCAATTCAAAAAGTGGTGTATTTCCCTAAACGACGTGGCCAATGTAGGAAATAATGTCTAGTTACTTTTACTGACACGGGGGACGTGAGAAAAACAGAGATTAATACGTCCATTTTGAAAGTCTGGGAGATGGGCAAAAGTGTAGAGAGTGGTTATTTTATGTTGAATTTTACCCACGTCTTATCCGATAAAAAAGTGCCCATCTGCAGCACATTTCCCCACTTCACCTGTGCGCATTCTCTGATTTTAAAACATTTTAAAGCACCCAGACCAAGCACGTGTCCATTGCATGCTTTTAATGGGTAATTTTGTTCGATTGCATCTACTATGTTGGATACCATTTCAGATGTTACACTTTACATTTTACACTAAACCGACGTTGTTTCACTCAGTCTGTCTGCAGACAGAATTCTTACTCATGGGGTATGTATGTTATTTACGAGCTACATCTCTAGTGACTTTGACAAACAGAAGACGGTCAGGTATATTAAGCAATGGAAGGCATAATATAACTTTACTCTATGACTGAGTAACAGAAGAAAGTGACTGATCTTCAAAGTAGACCTCGTCACTATTCCTGTGAGAATATTATTTCAGATTCTTATACTGTATTTCTTTGATTTTTCTTTATCATGTATTAATTTATGCCATCTGAAGAATTTTAATCTGTCCAGCGCAGTAGGAGGGGGCACATAAGTAAAGTGGGTGAAAATGTAGGCTAATTAGGTGAGATGTAGGCAAAAGATGAGCAAGATATCCACCTTCCTATCTGTTCCCCATTTTTATCACACTATCTCTCATTTTCCCCCTATTTTCCACTCTGTCGAAAAATTAATTGCCCACCTTTACCCGCTTTTTCCACGTCACCTCTCTCGTCTCCAGAAATACCCCCACTTCTCCCTACTTTCCCCATTTTTTTCAGTCGAATACAACCCATGTTTATACCCAGTTGACCGATGTTCACGAGAAAGCTCCCCAACTAGGAGCTTTATAGCTTCATGTTTCTTCTCCCTCTTTAATATTTTAGAATGTGGAATTTGAAAACTGAAATTAATTCGCGGTACTTCTGGACATTTTTCTCAATACATCTGTCTCTTTATTCACACTTTGTAGTCGGGAATGATCTAAATTTTGTAGCACTAGGTATGTAGATTTCGAATATCAGTGAAAGCTTTATCACTGCCTCTTGGATGTATTCACCTGACTAGTCCCACCACATACGAAGCAAGGCGTGTTCTAAATTCCACTCCTATCTACCATTTAGAGTGTTGAAATCTCATGTCAATATCTTCAGACTTTTGTAGAACAGGACCAGGCGTATTGATAAAATCTTAGATGGTAGCCTCGAGTAAACGAGTAAAATATCACTTCACTTATTTTGCAGAAATAATTCAGCCATCATTTAGATCTCTGATGTCTTAGAGATGTTTGCTTAACTTTGATGATGCAGATCTCATCTCCTGACGGATAGATGAATGTCTGAAAGCTCTGTTTCAGAGTCGTGGCCGATGTGGTCCGCATTTTCGAGTGCAATGTGGAATGCTCATTAATGTCGCTGGTTAGCAGTGACACTATTTTTTAAAAATTGATAAAATACAAAGTTCGAGGGAAATCGGGCTGTAGTCCAGTGGCTCATCGGTAAATCGGATGGCCTCGTAGCTCGGGTTCAATCTCCGATTAGGTCATAAGTGTATACTGTGAAGAGTTCAAAACTAGGAAGAAATAATTTCTCAGTGATCACTGAATTTCCGTGATACCCTAACTAATTTCAGCTCGTAATGAAATGCAAACTGAAATTCTGTCGTTGTTGATTCACGAACAGTCTAAAATTATGATACCAATCAACAAATAAATAGACAACTTCCACAGTATTTAGATGATCAGAAATAACTTCCGTGTCTTCGAAAGATATCCATCTATTTTAGTGAGATTTAGGATCATATGAGCCACTCGAAAGCATGAGATTATCAGGGAACTAAGACTCAGTTCATACTGCTTCTAACGCGTTTAAATAGCCTATCAATGTGCCTTACTCCGTTAGTTTATTATATCAGATAATTTGTCTAATTGCATATATCATCTGTATTCTAAAATGTTTGTGTCCAGTGTCGATATTTCGCCCCAATGTTCAGTAGAATTGAGGTAGCTGTTGTACAGTGAGTGTACTTGACTTTTGATAAGTGGTCGGGTTTACCGATGGGACCAAATATCAAAGAAATTATGAAAACTCCTAATGAATCTTTTATCCTCTTGTCAAGATTATGCCAAAATTTAGTTCCCTAGGTAGAATATTCACCAGCCATGTGAGATGCTGAGGTTCGACGCACTAAACCCTGACCTTCGCCTATTCTACTAACTCGTAGTAATCACTGGAAAGACGTGAGGTTGGATGTAATGCCAGCGACCCTATCTGTGGAAACTTCACAGCCCAACCCTTGAAGTCTTGTATTCCACTTGGAACACAACGAATCGGAAAAACTTCATAATCGGCTTTAGACTAGTTGAGTTCGCCTTCAGCGTATGCATTCGATTATTCTGGTCATTTCTAATGTGACCAAATCGTCGGTCTGTTTTTTCATAATTACACAGTTTCTGTGTTTGACTTCTTTACTTTGAAATAGTCGTGACTTCATACTAAGATGTTGTCCAGAAGGACAATGAAAACTTTGTAATCTTTCTGCATTTATCAATGCGTGCTTCAATCAGTATATATGTGTCAGTTCAAGCAAGCATCTTAGTAGGGGAGACACTGTCTTTCACAGATTGTCCTCAGTAATTATTTAACGGAGATTCAGTCGGTTCTTCTCTAATAAATGCACCCATTTCCTTACGGATCAAAGCATAATTGCATGTGTTGTCTGCAGAATTGCAGCGGCTATCCACGTAATACGGATGACTTAACGAGCAGTTCTGCTGTTTCAGATTATGCACTTAAACAGGTATGGCTTAATCTGAGACAATTGATGTGGCTACTAGCACGATCAACCAGATTATTCACATAAGGACACCCGTTGACTGGGTGGTTACACACTGGTTTTCAAGAGTACAAAATACACTTACTCGACCCCCTAGAAGACCAGAACAGCATATAGTATCTCTCTGTGGTATAACCATGCGGTCACCCTTTCCTCCTCCAGTGGACTATTCTCACCATTCCTACATATTTTAACGTATAGGCAGTCATAGTCACCCAGATTAACGACAGCACCAATCGACTATGCACTGCGTGGATAAGCCCATTGTAACTCACCTCGCATACAAGACCAGCCAAACGCTTTATTATAGGCAAGCGCAACATGCATATCAAAGTCATGTTGAGCAAGCCCACATGAACGAAGTTAGCACTCACTCGACTAAATGAATTTGTTAATTCCGTCAATTAATTTAGCTTATGAAGAGTTTCAATAAGTCCACCCAGACTTTTGTAAACCACTCACTATCATATTAGTGGGCTATGAGAACGGTTATCAATACCCGATTTCTCTGTCTATCTTAGCCTCCTAGTATGTGTGACATTAAAATTTAATTTGACATGTAGTTCCTTAGTGTTATAACTGTACTGAAATGAATGAGAACCATTGTCACTTTGTTCTGTCTACGCCTGCCTAATCACAACATGCGTGAGAAATGATGGAGAAGTTTTAGTGTTTTTTTCCCAAAAATAATTCTTGCTGGAGATAACTTATGTAAGGCAGAAGTATTGGTTGCTTTTTGATAAGGAAGCAAATATCTGTCCAAGATATCTCTCACTGCTCCCTCCCTCTTCACTCTCTTGAAAGCACGCTTAGAGGTATTGACGAAGTGCTCACCTTGTCCATAGAACTGTGGTTGATGTCAAATTGAGGGTGTAGGAGGTAAAACTCAGCTTCAGAGTCGAAGATGTTTGACTAGACTTGCGGCAACCAGACTTTACCTGGAAGACACGAGTGTTGCAGCAGAGATTGACGTGACACATGGTATGAAATGAAATCATTTGATGAAGGTGACATGTTAAAGCATACCGAATTTAATGGAACACCTCAGAGATTTAGCTTGTCTAACCAGTCAACACTAAGCAAATTCAAATCATGGTACTTTGTGAGATAACATACATCCTTGAACTGATGCTTACCAAACTGAACATGGCAATTTATTTCACCCATGAGTTGCAGTATATCTCCAGAGGCATTCTTAGCGACATGCTTCGTCGGTAGAATC